CAACAGTTATGTTTATCTACAAACAGCTGTTGAGCTGAGCAGCGCTGCCAGCTGATTGATTGCACTTTACGAGAATTGAGTATATTTTTAATTTCTTTGTATGCAGCGATATTTTTATCGGTTTCTAAATCAGCTGTTGTACAAGCAGAGTTGCCACACAGCTAATGAATATTTGCGCGCTAAGTGAGTACTTTTTGAATGTAGCGAATAGATTATTTTGATATATATTCATATGACTTGAAAAATACATGTGGTATTTATTCTTAATTATCAGTATGAAATACTTCGTTAATTTATGCAAATTTATTTGCAATGTTTTCAAATCAGTTGCGGGCTCAGCAGCGTTGCCAGCTCCCCTACGACTCTTGAGTACTTTTTGAATTGTGGCGGCTGCCGTAAATACTTTTGTCAGCATATCCACTTTCCAAGCTTTTTTTGTGGTAATTTAATATCTTATTGGAGCGTCCTTGCCTTGTATGAAATTTAATAAATTGCAGGAAACGACAGCCGCTACGCAAACAAGTTGGCCAGCCAAAGGTTAACCCACACGTAGGGCTTGAGAGACCACACACCAGATAAAAAAAGAACCCAACAAAAAAACTTAAAATGTACATGGCAGCAGTAACAGCAAAATTCCTCGTTTTGCTTAATGTGCTCATGTTTGGGAGCTTTTTACATATTCTTTTGCTCTTTCACACTTTTCGCTAGAACAAATTGTACAAGTGTCCAGCAATTCTACATATGTGTCTGTGCAGGTGTGTGTGTATATTTGTGTGTGTGTAGATTTGCAATTGCTAGCTTTACAACATCCGCTTTACAACATTTGGGTGGGCCTGAAAATAAATCAGCTTACATTTCCAAGAATGTCACATTTTTACAAGATTAAATACAAAACGGAGAAAAAGACAAGACACTTTCTAACAAGACGGCAAGTGAATGCCGTTTATTTTACTTCATCTTTTTTTTTTTCTTCTTCTTCTTCAACTGCCATTAATAAATTTCACACGAATGTTTTACATGGCATTTGAACATTAAAACGTTGCTCAGCACTAAACCCTAAATTGCGTAAGCTGATATTCTTTTGTCCCTTCTTCCGCTGCTGCTGTTGCCGCTGGTGCCGCTGCTTCTTCTTTTGGTTTTATGCAGCAGCATAATTATTCTTTATATTGTTGTTGCTGTTGCTGCTGTTGTTGTTGTAGTTGTTGTTACCGTTTTGGTCACTTAACAAATAGTCGAAAAGCTTTATGGGATATTGCGCTTTGCAGTTTGTTTATAAGCGGCGGGTGACTTGGCAATCCAAACCGGTTGCCCTCTCTCTCTGTCTCTCTCGCTCTCTTTCTCTCTGCTGTGTGTGATTTATAGTTACGCACAAGCGCGCAAATCCAATTAGACGAACTGACTGAGTGACTGACTGACTGACTGACTGGCTGGCTGACTGGCTGCCTGAGTGACTGTAGCCCGCGGGCAGATAGAGTCTCAAAATGCCGCCAGGCCAGAGGACGGTCGCAGTCCCAACTTATGTCTCACAAATGCTCCTCTTCTGGCCATAAACCAACGCCAGATAAATATAAATACATATATTTGAAATACAGTGAATGCTCTGCTAGCGGACAGTTGCCTGAGGCCAAATGTCATTTAGTCAACTAATTCAATCTTTTGCCCCACTTTCCCATTTCAATACTTGCCCATTCCAAGTCCCATCTTTTGCCCTACTTTTCATTAAAGGAATTTCCATTTGCCTAATGGTGGGAAATTTCTAAAACTGACATTAGACCTCGGGTTTTCTTTTGTGCATATGCAATTTTCGTTCACTCTCAAGGATTTCCTTTTTTAACGGACTTTTTTAAAAAAGGAATCGAATGTAAAGGTATTTCTGTGGCTGTAGTTCGGCCTTAATAGAGGTATATATTTGCTATACACTGTTTTTAGTCTAGCTAAACGTACATGAAAGAGATACACATACACATGTTTATGTATATGTTTTCATCCTCCAACATTTTTAGCTTTGAAAGAATTTGTTTTATTAGAAATTCACATTTCCCATACTCTGGGCTTAAATATAAAATTTCCCTCTCTCCCATGCTCCAATAAGAAAACGCCATAAAATATCCCTGTGGCTGTTAAATGCATATTAATGCATGAATTTCCATTAGAGCTACCCGCCTTAGCCTGATTTCACTGTAGCTAAACGTACATATAAATATATTTCAAATAGATTCGGGTCACCCGCTGTATCTACTTTTCTCTCTTTTTTATTTTACTTTATGTATTTTTGTTTTGTTTTGTTTTATTTGGCTGTTTACATCATCGTTTGTCGTTCGTTTGTCCCCGTGGACGCGTGGCGGGAGGGCGAGCTTTTGTTGCATTTTTAAATATCAAAGCAAACTGCAGCATCTTTATCTAAAAGCTGAGACGTACACACACACACTTGATTGTTTATGTATGCGTGTGTGTGTGTCTGTGTGTGTCATAATACCTTTGGCATGCCGGGAGGGCAGCTGACAGCTGAATAACTTGGCCGCTCTGCTTGCCTGTTGCATGCAAATTTCAACATATGGAGCATTGAAACAGTGCCAGCTGATGACGTCATCGGAGAAGCTCAATTGAAATGCAACAGGCAACAGTTGCAAATTTTGCTGTTCATACATTCACACATATAATATATACATATTTTATATTTATGTAAAAGGGCTGTAATTTTTTGGCCTTAGCCGTTTCCCACGTGAAATACAATTTTGATTTCATATCAGCGATTCGAACTGGAACTGGGTGTGTTACGTTGATGTCAGCGTTTCGCACTGGAATGCTTAAATAGCAGCACCCGCTTCCACTCCCACTTCCAATGGCAACAGCGTGTAACCTTCAGCAATCGTTTGGCCAGGCATACATTCATATCTAGGGCTTTTCCAATGGAAAGTCGAGAGAGCCGGTTGGGTCAGCTGTAAGAGTCGCCACTTTTGATTTGGTAATGCCACTGGGACAATAGACAATAACTGATTGATAGTCGCGGCACATTCCAAGCTGCCTCTCCAGCTCCTCCACCACCCGGAACAGCGGTAAACTTGTTTTTGTTTTGCAAACCACACAAAGCTAAACAAATGTGTGTGCGCCCACTAGAGCCAAAAAAAAAAGCTGATGATTAATTGCAGAGGAGCTCTGCTTGCCTGCCTGCCAGGCGCGAACCGATTGTGCGTGAGTGTGCGTGCGTGAGACTGCGTGTAGTTGACCGCAAGCCGGACTGGAAGCTAGCTGGAAGCTGGCTGGAAGCAAAGCTGATCTAAGCGCGCAGAGGCATGCTTAGCCGCTGAAAGATCCCCGGGCTGACACTGAAGTGATCGGGGCACATGGGGCACCGACTTAGGGCCCCCAACTGCATGAAATCTAAACGAGCTTTTGACTTTTTATCATCTAAAATCGGTTAATGAACTGTGCGAATGGCAAACGAAAGTTAAGAACTAGTCGAGAACCGTTGAATATTCTTCTTATTCTTTACTTTTAGCATATTTTTAGCTATTGTCTCTCTCTGCTTCAGCTTCTTCGCCTTTTATTGTGGCAATTTGCATGTTGCCACCTTTCGCTTGTACCGTTAGGCGATACGCTGCAAGCATTTGTATGTACGTATGTATGTATGTATATGTATATAGGCATAAATTAACTAGCTTAGAATGGGCTCATTAGCACCTGTTTGACATTGCGAAATTTGCATTTAACAGCCATAATCATAATCGGGCACAAATATTGGCCCAAATTTAGATTTATTTATTTCGAATTTTTAAGCTGGATTGACGGCAACGTTGGTGGTCGGCTTTGCTCTCCCTCTGCTCCAGCTCTCTCTCTTTTTCCCTCTCTCTCTCACTTTGCTTTGCTTAATTGGAAGCGACTTGCGCTGAAAATCAAAAGTGCCAACAACAACAGCTATAGCAAACGGCAACAATAAGAAGCAGAAGAAGAAGCAGCAGCAGCATCAGCAGCAGCAGCAGCAGCAGCAGCAGCCACACATAAATCAACTTTGAAGTGCAGCGACGCAACGAAGGCTCAGCCTCAGCCTCAGCGTCTCAGTCGCAGCCTCAGCTCGGCCTTGCTTATCAACGTTTCCTTCATTTTGCTCTGCTGCTTCTTGTGCTGTGTGCTGCGTTTCTTTTTGTTTTTAGTCTTTACTTTCTTTGTTTGCCTTTTGTCCGCTTGAATTTTTGGCTAAGTGCAGTCGCGACTCGCTGCCAGCGTCGCAGTCGCCGCAACAGGTTCTCGTTGACGTGCTTGTTCTTGTTGTTCTTTAGCAAGAACTGGACGCATAGCACGCGCAACAGGTTCTGTCCACTGCCTGATTAAGTGGCGAGCGAGTGAGCGAGCAAGCGAACGAACAACTGAGTGAGCATTTGTATACTATGTACATATGCATGTGTGCGTGCGTGTGTAGTGGCTCTCTTGCACGCTCTCAGGCACGCACACTTAGACACGCGGACTTGCAGGCGCGCTCACTGACAGCTGAGATATCGAGTGAGTGACTTTCAATATTACAAAAACAAAACAAAAAAATACCTGTTCGTGCTCGTTGTTGTTGTTGTTGTTGCTATTGGTATTGATTTGCTCGGCATGCATTTGCTCTCTGCTCCGTCCACTATGATAAGACTGACACCCATTAGCAAACGTTTTTACCAAGCAGTATGGAATTGCCTCTCATATGTAACATATTGAGAGCAGCGTCCGAATTTCCACTGGGGTTTTTTTGTCTTTGCCTACGACAAGCGGCGCAGGTAAGCGCAAACCTAAGATTGCGGCTTTGCGTCTGTGTGTGTGTGTGTACGCGCTCTCTGGGTCTCTGTCTCTCTCCCTCTCTCTTTTGTGTGGTTTGCGTAGCCGAAGAAAAACATTTTCGCAACTGCCGCCGCGAGAGCGTGTCTTTAAGTGTGCTCGTGTAGGTGTGTTGGACTCTGGCTCGCCGCTGATGTTGCTGTTGCTGTTGCTGCCGCCGTGAGCTTTGCCTGATCGCGCCTCAGTCTCCAGCCATTCAGTCAGTCCACTTTTGGCTCTCGTCTCGTGCAGTTTAGCAAAGCAACCGAATAAGTAAATGCACCGCGTTCATTGGCCGCGCGTTTACGTGTACGTGTGCGTGTGAGTGTGAGTGTCGTCTAGCTGGTGTGTATATGCATATACATACATGTATGTGTATTAGTGTACACACAATGCAATTAATACAATGGAAATTAATATAAAACAAGAAATGAATTAATTTTCTGATTCTCTGTTTACTTACGGTTCAATATAATTGATGACAGCACTTATGCGAGTGTATATATATATATATGTGTGTGTGAGATTGTGTAGACGTGTATTGGTGTTGGTGTAAAGTAAAGCAGCGACCATCACGCGTTCAGCTAGCAAACAAAAGTGCAACAGCAACTGCAGAGGCCGCAACACGAAACGGCATTTCTTACGTGTAAAATGTGCCTCAAGAAGTTACAAAATTTCAGCAAACATAAACAAAATACCCATTAAAACAAAGAGTTGAAAATATATATATGAACAAAATTGTTATTGTATAATAAAAGCAAAAGAAGAAGCAGAGTCAAGCGTAGCCTTCAACGTGCGCATTTCTTCCGCTTACAACGAAACTTCTTTTGCTGTTACTGTTGCTGCTGCTGCGCAGCTGCCGCGCTGCTAGCGTTTCTTCTACAATACTTTTGCTGCTTCATTTGCTAGCGGGTGGCTAAAAAAGCTTCTTCTTCTTCTACTACCTCGACTTCTTCTACTTTTGCTGCTTCATTCGCTCGCGGGTGGCTAAGAAGCTTCTGCTGCTGCTTCTGCGGCTGCTTCTTCATAGCCAACTCCATGTTTGAGGCCAACAAGTTTTGCTCAAGCTTTTTGCCTTTTATTTGACTTTTTTTGTATCCAACATTTTCCAGACCAGTTTTTGGCGGCTGCATTTTGCCATTTTCCGCGCTTTAGCACGGCAGAGGTAGAGAAGCTGCCGCAGTATGAGGGGCAGCGGCAGCAGCTGCCGCCCCATTGGCAATTGCACTTGGGAAAACTCTTTCCAGCCATATAAAGCGTATACAAACATATTTGCCAAGAGCCATAACAAAGGCAGTCGGAGTACGTGTTTTGGATTATTTTAATTGGCGCCAGACGCCGCGACATGTTCACACACATACAGACGTACAAAAAGAAATATTAAAAAAAAAAAAAATAGCTAAAAAAGCAAATTATATGTCTTAGGGTTCAGCTTTTTGCTAGCATTTGAATGGACCAAAAGAACATGTAGAACTGATAAAACAATAAGAGAGGGAGAGAAGAAAAAAAAACACACACAAAGCGAAAAACTTAAGATTCAGAATGACTTTAGGTACAGGTGTGTAATAACTGTTAATAGAATTCTAAGCCAAACATGTGCTAGCTGTAGCTAAAACGTCAAGTGAACTATGAGCAGCTAGAGGCAGCTAGTGGCATATAATTTATAGAGAATGTATGTATGTATATAGTATAAAGCAAAATTCGACTCAGAATGCCTCCATAAATATAATCAATTAAAAAAGTTGTTAATGGAAACTTTAAATAGACAGCAATTAGTTACAAATATTTAGTTTATGATTGCACCTAAAAAAGTAAAGTGTTAATTTATTGTATTTAAGTATTTTAGAGACATTAAAAAATATCATTTTTATGGGCTTAACTAAAAATGGTATTTCTTTAAAGTTTTGCTTCGCCAATTCTAACAATTTTACAGAGATTGTGCGTGTATTTGTAATATTTATTTGTATACATTTACATCCACAAATTTTTGGATATATAGTTTAAAAATATATTCATTGGTTGCTCCTAAATTCATCATGCTTTTTAATCAACTAAAATCTTTCCCAAATGGAATAGACATATCTTGGTTTAAGATTTTTAGTTTTATATTCTTAAAATTTGTTTTTGTTATTCTAACAAATAGTATGATTAACTTAAACAGCACTTGCTCTTTGGACAGCTCTATTTATTTGCATTTCACTCAAGTCGTGTTGAAACTTCCTAAAAACGATCTATATAAACCCGGAAGACTTTTGCTTAACACACAATTGAAGCGCGCAGAACTTGATAATTGTTGTCTTTTTTTCGGCGGATTTTAATTGTGGATTAACGAGTGGAAAAATGTACATGTGGCTTAAGAGTGGGAGAGCGAGAGAGAGAGAGAGAGAGAGGGCGTGGGTGAAGAGCGGGCGAAAACGGCAGAGTGAAAGATAGGGCAACAGGTATTATGCCGATGTCAGCTGCTGATAAGGTTTGATAAAAGGGAAACGTACAACAGACATATAATTCCCAAGCATTAAGAGATATGGAGAGAAAGAAGGCAGCGTGAGAGAAACAGAGAGAGAGCGAGAGAGAGAGAGAGAGAGCAATGGGACAAATGGAAATAGGAATCGAAAAGTTGAACTCATAGTCAAGCAAAGAATTACAAATATACACATGTATATATACGTGTGTCTGGGAAGGGGGTTTCACTCTTGGGTTCAATACACCCCGTCATCCGAAAAATATTTGTATGCGTGCGTGTGAGATTGATTGAATTATGAATTGAGCTACAGAGCCAAAGAGACGAAGACGATCGAAGTTTCGTTTCAATTAAAAGCATGCAGCGACCTTGCCAGCTGTGGCTAAGTGGGTTTGCGGTACAGTGAGCACTGGATATGTGGAATATATACTACAAGATATGTATAGAATAGACATAAGATATAGTGAGATTTTCATTGGAATTTCTCTTATAAATCTTTCAATTCATTCCATGATTGCCTCAGCCTGGGCAATATCTAAAATTTTTGCTTTAGACAGTTCTTGCTGTATCTGTTTTTGATTAATTATCAATGTATAGTCAATATAACTCTCATTCATGTTTACTCTGTTGAGCTAGTACTGTATCTGTGCTAGTATCTGAAGGATTGTATATCTGAGTAGCTAGCTATTTGTATCTATGTATATCTATTATTGATAGATTGTCAATATATGTATACTGCTTGGTATACTCAACACTCGCTCTGCAGAGTTATCTGTAGGGTTATCTGTATCAGTATCTGTAACTGGTTAGCTAGCTATTTGATAAATTGTGTCCCTCAATGTTCACTTTGTCCAATTACCACTGTAGCTTTATCAGTATCATATGGATTATGCATACGATATATCTAGCTTTTTCCATATCTAATAACTTAGCAATATATAACTTTTGTTATTTTCAACGTTCCCTCTGCTGAATTACCACTGTATTTGTATCTGATGGATTGTGTATCTGAGTAGCTGCATGTCAGGCAATCATTGGCAACCAGTTTTTCTGTTGTTGTTGTTGTTGTTTTTTGCTCCATCTTCGTGCTGCCTGCGTATGGAGCAGCATTCTCTTTTATCTTATCTCGTTGGGAGCGTCTAAGTAAGAGCCTGGCTAAGTCGAATTTTAATCTTATCTGTCAGCCACTAAGTAGTGCAAACAGCAGAAACAGAAAAAAAAAAAACAAAAAAACAAAAAAATAATAACAAACGAACATCAACACGAGCAATTCAAAAGTATTTCTCGAGTGCGTTGTCATTGTAAATTGTTCAGATATTAAAACAAAACGAAAAACGTAAAATGATTTCCTTAAAAGTACAAACAAATACGATTATATATCGTTCATTATGTGAAGAGTTTAAACTCGGTTCGCCTTGTGCGAGCTCAGCATTTCTGGCAAATTGCGCCCTAAATTTTGGAACAGTTAAGCAAATAGCAAACAGAGACACTTACGTAGAACCCACGAAAAATTTGTTGTCTGAATTCCTCAGAAATAACAAGATCATTGTGAATTTGCCATTTAGACAGGGTGGATTTTTATAGCTGTTAGCTGTTAGTATATACATATATAGGAAATCTATCTGGGAAATCTTAACAGGGATATCTTTTGTATCATTTTACAATTTTCCAATACACTTAAAAGTTGGCAGCAAATTTTTAGCATTTCCCCATTTCCCAACCCTCTTTAAAGTAAGTAGATTTTTATAGAAATTAGGAATTTAATGAAAATATAAATATGTAAAAAGATATGTATAAAATTGGTTAAAAATACAACAAAATTATTATTTTATTATTAATTATATTTGTTGAATTAAAAAAAATTTAATGTTTTTAAATATTTGTTTAACAATATATATAAATGATATTAAATTATTATAATCGGAATTATTATAGTTATATTTTTTGCTTTTAATTCAAGCCAAACCATAGTATTTTATCTAATTATTTGTTTAATTTAATTTAATTAAATTTAAAACAATATTTAGTTGTTTTTTTTTTTTTAAATTAACTTTAAAAAATTTAATATCAAAAACTTAAACTTAAAAAAACTTAAAATACAATTTATTTATATTTGTATGTATTATAGATTCAGATTTAATATCAAAAACTTAAACTTAAAAAAACTTAAAATACAATTTATTTATATTTGTATGTATTATAGATTCATATATTTTATTAAATATTCAATTATTCATAATCATTTAAATGTGGTCTATTATGTTGCATTTTTTTATTGCATTTTCTGTGCCACTTAATTAACATCTGATTGTTTTCACATTGCTTGTAGTTTCTGTTCTTTAAATATGAAAAATGTCATTTTTAAAACATGTTGTGGCTTAGCATTTGATAAGATACCAAGTTTTATGTTATTTTTAAATTTAATCTGTTTTTGTTTTTGGGCTAATTTGATGCGCAGCACTGATAAAGTGAGTGCTGCAAATTATTTCATTGTGATTAAAATAAAGCAAGTGCTAGATGCGAAAAATATATATAAATCAATATACATATACATATATAAATGTTTATACATTTATAAAGTTTTTAGGATCTACAAAGAAAATTCCTTTAGATATCTGGTTTTCATGAGCTTTACATATTTTTACTTTGTGAATAGCAATTGCTATAGATTTTATAGTTATATTATTACAACTATATGTACCATCTTAAAGGCAAGTGTTCTATGTGCTATTTATTCGTGTATTAATATGTATGTGTGTTTACATATCTGCATTTAAAATTTTCCCAAGATGTTAATACGGTTTTCTAGTCATAATTGTGGAAATTTATTGTCGCACATCTGGCAGGCATGAATATATATATATTTATATATATCTACATATGC